TGAAGCAAAAGAGCCAAGCAAGCACATGGGGTCTGTTGCCATTGCCAGGAACTGCAATTTGCACTGTGGACTTGGACCCTCGTGATCAGGCAAAATAATGACTCCTGAAAATATGCATCTTGATTGCCTTTGTTCCTTCATTTTTTGCCCTTTCTAAGGCCGACTACATCATCAAAACATGCTTTTGCCTTTATCTTTCACTTTACCAGGTCAGAGAATGATCTTTTGCCACCTCGTTTTTAACTCACTTAGCAGCCAAAAAAACTGAAGTTGTTTATTTTCAGGTTCTGCATGAATTTCTTCTCTCTCATGTTAGCTACTTTAGATCAATGATGGCATGAAAAAACAAGCAGGAGTAGTTCTGTTATGGAGAAAACTAAAATAAAATGAAATGAAATTTTTTATGTATTAAAGCTTGCAACTCAGGTCTTTTCGGTTTAAAATCTAACTTGGATTAGATTTAAAATTTTTTTTATAAAAGTTAACTCGATTAATACCAAGCAACTTGGTGAACTAAACCGCAATCAAATTTTTTTATTTTATAAAAAATCTTCAAACAAAGTTATTCTAACTTCTTTTTTTAATCCTTAAAATAACATAGTTTTAGGGCTTACTTATTTATTAAGTGATACGAGATCTAAACTAAATCATGAACCTAACTAAATAACTTTACTTGAAAATGTTAGTGTTAATGATGAACATCCACCTCCACCTTCTTGGAAGATAGAACATATCCCAATCTTCTTCATGACTAATGGAAAAAAAGCAGATTAACAAATGGAAAATTGATACAAAAAGCATTTAGGTAAGGCTAACACAACTCAAAACGAGTGCCGACAAGCAAAGAGAGATCATTACATGGGTCCATTGCCTTAGTTGTCTCCAAGTATCGTATTATCTTAATCCCAGAGAAGAGAAGTGTAATTATCCTATTTCATTCAAACTCGATAAAAGCAAGCATGGCATTGGAAATAGAAGTCTTAAAGATTATTTTTTTCTTGTTTGATAATGATCATAACTAGGAAGGCACTATGAGATCTAGACGGAAGCTACAGTCAACTGATAATCCTACAGCATCATGGTTCTTTGGTTTTTGTATCACAGACCAATTTTGTCTCAAGAACTTTTTTTTTAATCAATTTTGTCCCTCAAATTTCAAATTTCTCTATTAAACCTTTCATTCCATCTAAAATGTAAATTTTCTTAAGAAATGGTAGTGTTTTCTAATAAAAGATTTCAATTGATTAATCAAAATTGTTCAGAGACTTGGAAACAAAATCTATGCAAACACTTCTTTAGGAGCAAACTTGATATAACATAATGGTGAGGGGTATATTAAAAAATTTAAAATTTAGACCAACAATATCGATATTAATTTAAGTATAGTTTTGAAACTTGGCTTAGCGGGTTGATCCAGAACTGGAACCAAACCAAGTTTAAAAAATTACCTAAAGTCAAAACTTGAGCTAACCTAACAGATTAACCTGGTTGATCTTGCAACTTATTAATTTTTATTTTTTTTATTAAAATAATATTATTTTAATTTTTTAAAAAATTAAAATTAATCCGAAGAATTCAAGCTACCTGATCAAAACTCAAAACTTAAACCGGATTTAAAAACTCTAGATTTAAATTACAAAAATAAAGAAAAAATATAAGGCATAATCCAAGTACTTTAAAAATCAATCTGAATTAAATTTCAAGACTATGCCAACAAGAATTCGTAGAAAGAGAAGAATAAGGTAAGAAAGAAATATTGTCTTCGTTAATATCAACAAAAACATAGGATGTCCAAAAGATAAATATTTAATTACATGGAAGGAGAGAAAGAAAGCCATAAAGAATTTACAAAGAAAATTCTTGGCACGATTCTTTTGGCACTATTATTGGAGCTTCTTCCCTATCCCCACACAATCTCTCCTTGATCCATTCTCAAAATCTAAAACAAATTTCATCATAGCAAAAATATAATTAAACATACGAATAGCAGCTTCAAGATTTCCATGTCTTCTCCTCCATAACAATCAAGAGCCTCAAACTAAACACCTTCAAGATGTGACATGATCATGTTGGTAATATCGGCAGCAGCAAGCATGTAAGCAAAATCTTCTGTTGTTGTTTCACTATAGTGCGTTAATTAAGAACAAGGCTTGGTTTTCAAGCGATAGAGGAGCTTCTTCTTCTTCTTGGAAGTGGTATTGTCAATGGTGAGAACAACTTTACCAGGTTCACCAACTTTAAAACTGTTGCTAACCACTGGTTCTTCAGTTGTAGCAACCTTTCTAGCCTTTTGGATGATCACTGTGTAGCTATCCTCGGCACTTGGTACAAATTCGGCGCCATAGCTCACATCCCATCCCACAACTCTCATTTCCCAAGTCAGAAGGCATGTCTGCAGATCAATTAGATTAACGTTAATCAAGGGAAAAAAAGTAAAACAACGTCATAATGACCATACTAAAATTTAACCCGTGATTGTATCACTGCATAGTTCAGAGTTCCCAAGGAAAGATTCCCTTGTCAAGGAAACACCATTCTAGGTGCTCCTAGTTAGACAAAGTCACATGTTTCTTTCCAAAGGAAAAAGAAACTGCCTTTGTTTTAAACATAGTAGTTAAATCCAAACAGGGATCGATAAAATCCTAAGTTGTATGTCAGCGGATTATCTGGTTTAACTTAGATTAATCGAAAAAAGTTATTTTTAAAAAAATATTACATCAACTTATATTATTTTCCCCTTTATCTTTTATAAAACCCCAAACATGTTTGGGTCACAGCTCAATCGGTTCGATCCAATTCACGGTCCAGGTTTAATAAGCAAGATTTGTAAGTACTCCTTAGCAGTCAAAAGAGAAAGGGTACCTCAGTGACTGGGAATTCTACAGTGTGCTTTGCTGATGGCTTCACAGTAATCTCAGTAACAGCATCAGCTGTGCCAAATTCACCATCTTTGCTTAGTCCTCCATACTTCACTGGTATTTGCTCAGCAGCTATGTACCTGATTGATGGTAGAAAGAAATTTTAACTCACAGCCCAATAGTACAAAAATGCATGTCAGAAAGCCAAGACATTTTCTATAGAAAATTGAAATCTTTTGGGACAAACCTGGTGAGGGTTTCTGCAGATTTCGAAGGACCAGCAAAGACAAACTTGCTTCTTGTTCTCTGAGTTAAAAATGGACTTATCATTCTATTGACTGTGAGGTACCACCAGGGCACATTGATGAAGATCTGCCGAGTAAACACCAAAGAATCAATCAATTTTGAGTTAGTTTGTTTTCAAACACAAAGGAAAGGAATCAAGAAATGAAACAAACAAATATACCTGTTTGGCCACAAATTCTGGATAGTTGTCTTGAAGCAATTGAAGTGCCTGTCTAGTAGCTTGTCTAAGCTCTCTCTTAGCTGGTCCAGGAGAATTTTTCAAGTCATTAACCTGAACAATGGTAGAGACTCCACCAGGACTGAAATCCAATTTCCTAATACTCCTTTCCAGGAATTGAATTCTCCACCTCAAGAATCTCTGCCTCTTCTCTTCATGAGAAAATGAATTCTTGTAAAGCTCCTTGTTTTGGAACTCCCCATAGACATTGTAGCAAACTGGGTGTCCTTCTTTGTCAAGACCATGCATAAATACCACCTTCCCCAAATCATCACAGCCCAAATCTTGATCAAGCAATTCATCAATGCCGAGCTCCTTTCTCCAGCGAATTGTGTTCTTGAGCATGGTGAAGGCATCTTTCACCTTAAAATCCCTGGCTCTGAGAAACTTCAAGAGAATGACATCACTTCTGTCATCAGCAAGAAGTGGTATGCCCCAGATTGATACGACTTCTGGTGTCACTTCCACCACAGTCTCAGACTTTACTTCTTTGGTTGCCTCGTCCAATGTTGAGGCAGCCTCTGTCTCTCCCTCAGGCTCTTTTGTTGCCTGAGCTGAAGTCTCCTCTTGTGAAGCTACTGAAGAGGAGACAGCTACAATGGTCTCTTCAATGGCTTCTACAGTCTTGGCACCATCATCATCCACAGTACTAACAGCAGTAGTATCACTAGCAACAGCAGGAACGGGAGCCACCTTTTCTTGATCATCAAGAACCTCACTTTCCACCACCTCTTTCTTCTCTTCTTTCTCTGCTACAACTTGAGGCTCAACGTTTTCCTTCTCCTCTGTTACTGCCGGTGTTTCCTCTTCTTGGGCTGGTTTTTTATCCTCCTCCGAGGCCACCACCACATCTTTCTTCTCCTCTGCTTTAGCTGGTGCTGGTGTTGTTGTTAAAGCACTAAATTCATGCTTGTTAAGTGCTTCCTGAACAAGTTGCTTAAATTCTTGAAGTGCTTTCTTCTCAGACTCAAGAAGATCAGCAACTTTAGTACTTTCTTCCTTAAAAGAAACCAACTGAGGCATCTTCTCATCATCACCTCCACTAGCTTTCAAAGCCTCAGTCTCCACAACAGCCTCCTCAGCCTGCTTTGGCTTCATTGGCTCCTCCTCAGTCTCAGGCACGGGCAATGGCAGCTCTTTCCCCGCCACTGGCATTGTTGGTGGGGCTGGTGTTTTTTTCTCAGCTTGTGGAACATCAGTTACCACTACCACTTGTTCTTGACTCACGTTTTGTGCCACCTCTGCCATTCTTGAAGACAAAACAAGAAATGCTAGAGATGGAAAAAGAGAGGGAGAGGGCTATGGCTGTTGAATTCTTGAAATGCAAGTGTTTTGAGGGTATGGTGAGGGTTTAAGGGAGGAAGAGGGGGGGAGTTATAAAGAGTGGAGTCGTGGGGGGTGGTGGGTGGGCTAGAGGGCCAAGCTGTCAAGCTGAAAACAAAGCCAGCATGAAGTCTATGATTCTCTCTGTGTGTGTGGGGAACCATAACTATCCATTTGCTGTTAATTTTCTTGAATGATGGACACAATCTTTGCCCTATTTTGTAACGGTTCTTTATAGGGAAAACAACATTTTTGTCCCTTTAAATTGACCAATGTTTCATCTATACCCCTATAGCTCAATTGTCTTGAAGCAATTGAAGCGCCTGTCTAGTAGCTTGTCTAAGCTCTCTCTTAGCTGGTCCAGGAGAATTTTTCAAGTCATTAACCTGAACAATAGTAGAGACTCCACCAGGACTGAAATCCAATTTCCTAATACTCCTTTCCAGGAATTGAATTCTCCACCTCAAGAATCTCTGCCTCTTCTCTTCATCAGAAAATGAATTCTTGTAAAGCTCCTTGTTTTGGAACTCCCCATAGACATTGTAGCAAACTGGGTGTCCCTCTTTGTCGAGACCATGCATAAATACCACCTTCCCCAAATCATCACAGCCCAAATCTTGTTCAAGCAATTCATCAATGCCGAGCTCCTTTCTCCAGCGAATTGTGTTCTTGAGCATGTTGAAGGCATCTTTCACCTTAAAATCCCTGGCTCTGAGAAACTTCAAGAGAATGACATCACTTCTGTCATCAGCAAGAAGTGGTATGCCCCAGATTGATACGACTTCTGGTGTCACTTCCACCACAGTCTCAGACTTTACTTCTTTGGTTGCCTCGTCCAATGTTGAGGCAGCCGTTGTCTCTCCCTCAGGCTCTTTTGTTGCCTGAGCTGAAGGCTCCTCTTGTGAAGCTACTGAAGAGGAGACAGCTACAATGGTCTCTTCAATGGCTTCTACAGTCTTGGCACCATCATCATCCACAGTACTAACAGCAGTAGTATCACTAGCAACAGCAGGAACGGGAGCCACCTTTTCTTGATCATCAAGAACCTCACTTTCCACCACCTCTTCCTTCTCTTCTTTCTCTGCTACAACTTGAGGCTCCACGTTTTCCTTCTCCTCTGTTACTGCCGGTGTTTCCTCTTCTTGGGCTGGTTTTTTATCCTCCTCCGAGGCCACCACCACATCTTTCTTCTCCTCTGCTTTAGCTGGTGCTGGTGTTGTTGTTAAAGCACTAAATTCATGCTTGTTAAGTGCTTCCTGAACAAGTTGCTTAAATTCTTGAAGTGCTTTCTTCTCAGACTCAAGAAGATCAGCAACTTTAGTACTTTCTTCCTTAAAAGAAACCAACTGAGGCATCTTCTCATCATCACCTCCACTAGCTTTCAAAGCCTCAGTCTCCACAACAGCCTCCTCAGCCTGCTTTGGCTTCATTGGCTCCTCCTCAGTCTCAGGCACGGGCAATGGCAGCTCTTTCCCCGCCACTGGCATTGTTGGTGGGGCTGGTGTTTTTTTCCTCAGCCTGCTTTGGCTTCATTGGCTCCTCCTCAGTCTCAGGCACGGGCAATGGCAGCTCTTTCCCCGCCACTGGCATTGTTGGTGGGGCTGGTGTTTTTTTCTCAGCTTGTGGAACATCAGTTACCACTACCACTTGTTCTTGACTCACGTTTTGTGCCACCTCTGCCATTCTTGAAGACAAAACAAGAAATGCTAGAGATGGAAAAAGAGAGGGAGAGGGCTATGGCTGTTGAATTCTTGAAATGCAAGTGTTTTGAGGGTATGGTGAGGGTTTAAGGGAGGAAGAGGGGGGGAGTTATAAAGAGTGGAGTCGTGGGGGGTGGTGGGTGGGCTAGAGGGCCAAGCTGTCAAGCTGAAAACAAAGCCAGCATGAAGTCTATGATTCTCTCTGTGTGTGTGGGGAACCATAACTATCCATTTGCTGTTAATTTTCTTGAATGATGGACACAATCTTTGCCCTATTTTGTAACGGTTCTTTATAGGGAAAACAACATTTTTGTCCCTTTAAATTGACCAATGTTTCATCTATACCCCTGTAGCTCAAGATTTATAGATTTGTTTTCTTAAAAACTTTGATTTGATTTTATTTATTTTTTAGCATTTTTACTATATGTTTGAAAACCTAATAAATTAATAAAAAAAACTCCAATAAATTCCGATAAAGAAAAAAAAATCCATCTAGATTTTGGTCCAAGCTCATAGATTCAAATATTTTCACTCATTCTATGATGAATTTGTGTATCTATAGCTTAACGTGAGCAAAAATTCTAAGTGCCATTGTCAGTATAAAATGTGATAGGATCCCTCTATATGATGTGAAAAGTACGTCGGATATGTGATTAGTCTAATTTTACTAGCTGGTTCGTGCTTAGGGATGAAATTAAAAACTATTAAAAAGTATAAGGAGAACATTTAAAGCTTTGAAACCATACTCATAGCAATGGCACATTGATAAATCTAGAGGGACAAAAGTGTAGTTTACCCTTCCCAGTGCTAGAAATCATCGGCGGATGTGCAGGCATTTTCTTCTTTTTAGGCGTTGTGGTGTGTCTGTGTGTATCTTTGGGGTGTTAATGGGCCCTACAACAGCCTGCAAAGAAAGAAGAAATGATGATGAAAATGAGACCGTTGGATGTGTTGGACACACCAAATATCCTCGTGTCATCCAGTAGGATAATCTCAACCGTTGGAAAAGAGGTGGGACCAAGGTGCTTGATATTCCTCGTTGCCTTAGGCCAGCCCAAGGCAATTGAGGTGCCAACCCTCCAAGAACTAGGTTTTTTTGAAAATAATTAATTGTGGCAATCAATGATAATACATGGATTTAATGAATGCTAATTATGTGAAACGGTCGAAGTCATTGATATACTGTAACCATTATAAATAAGGTTTTGTCCACATTTTTAAAATAAGAGGATATAAACAGTACTTGGCTGGCTAGATAATTGGCGATTTTCTTTTTTAAATAGCACAGTCAGCCATTTTTTTTTTATATAAAATAACATAATTGGAGAAAAATTAGAGAAATAGTACTCTTTTCTTTTCTCTCTTTCTTTTTTTTTCTTAGTTGCATTAATTAAGAGTCACACAACTAATAAAATTTTTATTAGTTGCACAATCTTTGAAATTTTGTTGTTAGATAAAAATTTTGACATAAATAAATCCTAGATTAAGCTAAGAATCCAGAATTAAATAGAAAAAAATAAAAATAATATAAACAACAACTTTTAAATTTAATTTGAAAGTTTTCTCAATTTTAGTTAGTTATAAAAGTTAACTTAAACTATGTTTTGCAAAGCAGTTCAACGCGTATTTTAAATAAAATTAATATTTTATTTAAATTTTAAATTTTTTTAATGTTTTTAAATTGTTTTGATATACTAAAATCAATAATAATTTTTTATAAATGAAATAACATCATCATAATACATGTTTAAGTGAAAAATATTTTGAACTCAACCACAATCACTACTACAATTTCAAATAGGCTCCTAATATAGAACAAGGAGAATTTACTAAAAAAATTTAAATTTAATTTAACAATCAAATTAAAAATTATATCTATTTTAGTCAGTCAAATAATTTATCATGATAATATCTCTTTTTAGACTAAGACTCGTCATTTAATTTAAAAATATATTTGCTGGGTTTTCCAGACAATCCAGCAACATTAGACTTGTATCCCATTGATGAGTACTTCTTGCATGAAAATCTCAAGAGAATGGCTGCGCTACTCCAAGCAGCACAACCATTGAATTATGCTATTTTTAGTAACATGTCTTGGTTGCACTATTGAGAGTTATGCAGCACAGAGTGGCTGTAATATAACGGTATATTATTCGGATTGTTGTTCTAGCCTTCGTTCTTATTTGTGTTTTCCAGGCTTGCTAGCTCAATTAATTTTGTGCCAATTCTAATTGATTTTTATTTTTATTGTTATTTTTTGAATATTATAAGTTATGACCATCAATGTTAATACGTTTATGCAATGAAAGTTAATTACATGGATTAGGAGAAATTATTTGGTATAAGTGATTTAACATTAGGTTCCGTTCGCATTTCTTAATTAAATAAAGAGTACACAAACTATTTATTCAATATTTCTTAATTAAATAACATTAGTTCATGCTTTTATTTTTCATTATGTTTTTTAACTCTTCAATTATAATAAAAAAATATTCTCGGATTAACTTTCATGTATTACAATTAAATATTTTTTAATCAAATCTTAAACATATAATCCATACTTATATTTATGCATGTATCATATATATATATTTTTTTTTATCATATCTTCCCATAAGAGATTAAACCTAGATCATATCATAACAACGGAGAGAACACTAACTTAATAACCAGACTAATACTCCAACAATAGTTTTTTGTCTTTTATGTTTTCGGTTGATGTTGGCTTCGGTTGTATAATAAATATTAAAAAATAAATAAAAATATTACAGGTTTATCATTTAACACGTATTATATTGTTTATCTAATAAAACTAGAATCATCATATTAGTAAAGAATAAAATCAATAATCTTACACCATATATGTACCTACCTCTTAGCTTCATCCCATGTCAGCCAAATTCCTTTCCCTAGGAACTTGTTCATTTACTTAAATTTAATTTTTTATATTATGTGCATCTAAAAGTGATTGGCAAAGAGCTAAATTATAGAGAAGAACCCGTAAACCCGAAGTTGCTAATAGATTATATATTTATATATGAATTGAAAAATATAATTGATAGAATTTAATCTAAAAAAAAGATTAAAAATGTAAAGTGTAATTTCATTTATTTTCTTCCCCGAGTCAAAACTAGTCTTGGGATTTACTGGTTGCTGAGATGGGTCCAGTCGAGACCCATTTCTCGAGTCTTTAAGTGATTCGTTTGTGCCAAGCATATTGTCAATGGTTCGGCTCTACATTTCACACCAGATATGTCATTGGGTTAGGTCAATTAGTCTAAACTTGTTTGAGTCTCGAACCCATATGAATTGGGCAAAGAAAACCTCTTGACCCAATTTTAATTTATAATTCTTGTATTGGATGTACACTAGAAGTTGTCTAAAGTTTGACATGATGAGCCGCTTGGCCTTAAAATTGAAACCTCGGACCCAAATTTAATGGTTGTGTTAAATTACAAAAAGATAACGAAAGTAGAGACGTGTTTTTTTTTTTTAATTTATTTCTTTGAATTCATTAATCAATACAAGATAACGAAAGTAGAGACGTGTTAAAGTTAAATAAATAAATTTATTTCTTTGAATTCATTAATCAATACAAGAAAAGTATGTTTTCAGATGGTCTAAAAAATAAAATTTGATTTCATTTAATACACAAATTATTAAAAAACACCATTAATAAACAAAAAGAAACAAAAAACATTAATTTTGCAGAAAATGAGCCGACGTGAAGCAGAAGGCGACTGTCATTCTCGGTTATGGCATGGGAAGTCTTGTCCATATCTGTGTTGCAGTCTTCAGAAGCAAGTGCAAAGACTAGTCAGTCTATCCCAAGGAGAAACAAATCATGGCATCCATGATCGATCTGCTCTCTGAGAAGAGAAGACGGGAAGAAATTAAGGGATTCATGCACTTGTTTCTTCAGCTGATAAACACCCAAAATTAATGAAGTGACAGAGACGGAACAGATGGCCATGGACACATGAGCATTTACTTCACACATGCTTATTTAACAAATGATTAATTAATTTTCGTGACTTTTCAAATTCAAATAATTAAAAGAATTTACTAGACCATTTTAGTTATTTAATTTTTACGTTCGATACGTCTCTTGTTAATAATTATAAAATCTAAAGGATAAGCTTGATGGTTAAACTAAAAAACTTACTTATTTTTTCGAATTCTAATGAACTGATCCTTAATCTGAAAATGTTATTATATCATTTTGAATACTTAATATTAGATTTCGATTAACTCCCATTAGTTATACACGAAGCACAACTTTATTCAAGAGATATTTATATACAAAGAAATAGGAAGACAAAGTGTGAAAGAAGCTTGAAAGTCAAGAGGGGGGGTCGATCCAAGTCAAGTGATGATCCCTCTGCATGCAAAAAGTCAAGATTGCCGTGTTGCGCTTCCTAGCACACCGGCGTTTTTAGAGATCCAAAACCCTAAAAATGAAGAATAAACAAATAGAAAGTGTAAAAACTGATGAAGAATGAAGAGGCAGTGGTTGGATTCAAGCTGTTCGTCATGGATTCCCATACTCTGTCTTCTTTTCCCCAGCAATTTTTAATAACTCAACACCCCCTCCATGTGCACTCACTGTCCTTCCCTCTTTACCTTTCACTCTCTGAATTATAGTATCCGAAATATATGCCAAGTTAAATCTTTCTAAATTATTTAGTTTTTGCATGAATAGTTGAGTAGGTACACAATTACAAGAAAATTAATTATCCCTGACATAATATTCCGTTAGTATTTAGGATATATTTTCAACGACATATAATAAATAACTGATAAAAATATATTATTAGCAAGTATTTTTGTGAAATTTTTTGATTTATCGGTAATTTAGCCAATAAAATTACTTATTATAAAAACATTGATAAAAAATATTCATGTTAAAAAAATAATTATCTATAAAAAACTATGATTTTCTTATTTCTTGAATTTTAATTTTAAAATTAATATCTAAGAGAATTTATTAAAGTCTTCTTAATACACTAGACAAAGATACATCCTTAAGATTATTAGAAAAAATAATTTATTTTTAATTATCGTGCAAATTAGTTTAGAATATCTCATATCCTAAAAAAAGTAGTTTATTTTCAATTAGATTGAAAAAATAAATTTAATCCTGATTTATAAAGATTAATTAATATAAAGATGTATTTGGTCATCAAATTAATAGAAAAAGGGCCTTGAACGACATTTTTCTGCCAAGGATTGAAAATTCTTTATAAGTTTTGAAAAA